GGGGGGAGTGGGCTTGGCCCTGAAGGGGAGGGGGGAGGAAGAGGGCCTGGTCCTGAAGCGGCAGGGGATCAGACGTGGGCCTCTGTCCCTGCGTGCTCCCTCCATCAGTCTTGATGGGCAAGTTGCTAGTCTTTCTGATGTTAATATTCTTCAGTAATACCAGGCTTTTTCTTTTGCTCCTTGTGTGACAACACACTCAAGGACAGTTCTGTAAGGGCTTGTGTATTAGGCTGTTTTGTGTATGCAGCTATGTTTTTATTTTCATGTAAGCTCTGAAGGTTATGCCTAGCTTGCATTATATTTTACTTTTGCTCACTAAAATCCAACTTTTGGGGGGAAAATTTCTTCAAAAGTATATAACTTGTCTCCTATTAAACCTGGTTTGAATTTCTAGTTTAGTTCTTTTGAAATGTAAGTCTTGGACTTTTTTAGGTTGACAGTGCTTAGTAACAAGCATGCTCTGTAGTTTTTTAAATGAACAAACCTTTAATGCTATACAACTTTGGTGGCATACCAGATTCTGTGTTCTCGGTCTGTTAAACAGTGCAAGAAACTGCATTCCTTGCTCTACTTGCAGTATTTGTTGTGCTATCATTAATCGTCACAGTAAAGTATGGGTGCTACTAATCAAATAAGTAGAACTTTGTGGGGAAGGGAGTTGAGAGAAGGTTTTGAAACATAAGGCTTTGGTGATATTTATATTTTTAACTACTAGTAGTATTTTATTTCTCTCTTTTAGGTGATTGCAAAGGGGAAAAATGCATCTGAATTGTTTCCTGCTGTTGTGAAGAATGTGGCCAGTAAAAACATTGAGGTACCAAAGCAAATAACTCATAAAAGCATACTGTTACTTTTATAAACAAAGATCTTCTGTATCATCTAACTTCCAGTATAAAAACATAAAATACCTTTCAGTTTTATTTTGCAATTATTTTAGAATTCACAGAGGCTTAATTTTAGTGGGACCCTTATGGAAATAGTATACCTTCATATTAAGATAAAGGGAATATATACCATTAAGCCTTTCTTCCAGTAGCTTGTTGGGGAAGTGAATTTATATAGATTGGAAAATAGCTCTTAAGTGTAGTTCAAGAAGTTCTAGACATGTGTGTTCTGTTATATTTCCAAGACCACCATCTTGTAAACTGCATGACATAACGTGTTAACAATCTCTGTTAAGAAACTAAAAACTTACTTGCACTTCCAAAATAGTTGCTACAGGTCAGGGTTGAGATGCATTGGACTGTTAGAGGGATGCTTGTTCTTTTTCGGTGGTATAGTTTATCTAGCTTAGAAAAAGCCTTAGTTTCAAAATGGTATTACTTAATTTTTACTTTTGTTACCCAGATCACAGGTAACCTTGCAGGATGGCTACTGATAAGATTCAGAAACAGGTCTACAGTCCAACCTTTTATTTGTTGTAGGGCTGTCAATTAATAAGCGTTAACATGCATGATTAATGCAAGAACCAATTAATGTGTTAATTTTTTTAATGTGTTAATCACACACATGGTTTTGGAGCCTGCACCCAGGCTGCCCTCTGACTCCTTTCTGCCATCATCACCACCACCTCCTGGCTGACCAGTAGGGCAGTGGTGGCAGTGCAGAGGAGCTGCAGGGCAGCCCAAGTGCGGGCTCCAGGTGGCTGTAGCAGGAAGGGAGGAGGCAGGGCATACCCACCCACCCACACACCCACAAACTCCACATCACCCCCATCCAGGGCTCCAGTCAGCTGAGTTGGCAGTGCTGGTGGCTCTGTGCCTCCACGGTGGCAGCTGCTGCTAGCGGGTGGGGGCGGGATTCCTGCAGAGCCATCTTCCACATGCCTGGTCCCAGCTTAGCACCACTGGAGCCCAAGTTGCACCCAGTGCCACTGCCGCTGAGCCGGATGGAGCCATCACACTTCCATGCCATCTGGGCTCCTGCCGGGACCCTCACAGAGCTGTCAGACCCGCTGGGTCCCGGCAGGAGCCTAGGTGGTGTGGGGAGGAGAGCACTGGTGGCAGCTCTGAGTGCATCTTGGGCTTTATTGGTGCTGGGCTGAGGCCGGGCATGTGGCGTTGCGGGGGGTGGCTACGTGGGAACCCTGCCCAATGGCAGTGGCTACCTCTGTGGACACATCTCAGAGCCACTGTTGCTGCTGCTCCCCGGGGGCCTGAACTGGGGATGTATGGGAACCTGTGGGCCCAGAGGCAGCTTGTGCTGGAGCTGTCCTGGCCTGGTCAGAGTCCGAGCTGTGGGGCCTGAAGTTGCCAGGCACCCCTGGAAGGAGTTGTGTGGGGTTTGTGGGTGGGTGTGCTCCCCCTGCCTTCCTGCTGCAGCTGCTGGGACCCGCACAGTTGCTGGACCTGCAGGGGAAGTTGAGGGCCTGGGCTGGGACTGGGTCCAGAGCCAGCTGTCTCCCTCCTGGGTTGCTCTTGGCCGCTGCCTCTGGGGGCAAGGGTGGGGTGAACCCATTGCCGCTGGGGCTGTGCTCAAGCAGGGGGCTTGCCTGGGCCCGGGGCAGCTCCGTAGAGACCCCACTCAGATTGGGCATCCTGCCAGGGCAGGCTGGGGCTGCCCCCCAGGCTCCAACCCCCCCCCTCCCCATGTTTTGGTAAACAGAATGTACGTGCTGGTACCTTGGTTGTGTCCTTAAATAGATTGATAGGTGTTTTTGTTTTAGGTGCCATAAGGACCTATAGTTACAAATAGATTCAAAGCGTGTTTGACATTTTATACATTCCACAGGCTACTAATCCTTTAGTTTTAAGAAGAAATTTCCATTTGCTTCTTCTGAAACAATTATGTTAACTGGAATAACTGTGAAGCAAAATATTAAACCTCTTGGCTTTGTGACGTTCTCAGTATTGTTTGTGGGAGCGCAACTTCAACATTTCTGTGTTTCGGAGACTTTAGAACTGATGGTATTTTGATCCTGGTAACTGCAGTTGTTACCCTGAGAGTGAGGTCTCTTTCATTCTAATGGTATTTTGATACCATTATGACTGTTTTCCAGTATGTTAGAATGTCATATGATTGATCAATCCTGGCAGTGGCTGGAGAGATTGGTGGGTGGTGGTGGTTATTTTGCTTGTGGTTTTTTAACACTAAATAATGACTCTTCTGATCTTTTTGACCTGGGCCAGATGCTTTTTGTTCTTGGAGTGCCTAGATCTTCTGGCCTTTGTCACTACTGTCTCTTCTGGATCTTTCTCAGTACTCTAATCAAATATTTTATATACATCTGAGGTCATTACAAGTGGCAGCCTCAGTTTTGTGGAGGTTGTTGTTTGTTTGTTTGTTTGTTTGTTTGTTTGTTTGTTTGTTTTAGTGCCTCCCACATGATACTAATCTATTTGATCCTGAAACCCCTTCTTTTAAGAAATCTCAAGCAGTCAAAGGGAAATAACTTTCTAAACAGGCTACTATAGCAGGTTCGGGCCCAGGGGCAGTTATGATGCCCCCTGGTGGCCACGCAAATCCTGCCCCATCTGCAAATCCAGAGGCCCTGACTTTCTTTTTCCTTTCCTGCTATGCCTGTAATATTATGTTTTCATAGTATGATAGTACTTAGGGTTGGAAGGGACCTAAACAGATCATCAGGTCCGACCCCCTGCCCTGGGCAGGAACTGGTGTCGGGATCATATGACCCCAGCCAATTGAGCACCACCTCACTTGGGAGCCTATTCCAGAGCTTGGCAGCCCTAACTGCAAAGTAATGTCTCCTGATGTCCAGCCTGAACCTTCTCTCTAACAATTTGTGGTCGTTATTCCTAGTAACCCTGGGTGGTAACCAGGGGAACAGAGCCTCCCCTAATTTCTGCTAATTCCCCCTGGTGAGTTTGTAAACGGCCACCAGATCCCCTCTCAGCCTTCTCTTGTGGAGGCTGAATAGGTTCAGGCCCTTTAGCCTCTCTTCGTAGGGCCTGCCCCGCTGCCCCTTGACCATGCGAGTGGCCCTCCTCTGGACCTTCTCAAAGCTAGCCACATCCCTTTTGAAGTTTAATGCCCAGAACTGGATGCAGTACTCCAACTGTGGCCTGACCAATTCGACATAGAGGGGATGGATCACCTTCCTGGACCCGCTTGTGATGCATCTGTAGATGCACAAGGTGCAGCCAGCCTTACTGACTGTTTGCTTGCATTGGTGGCTCATGTTCATCCTGGAGTCAACAATGACTCCAAGATCATTTTCTGCCACTATGTTGACAAGAAGGGTATTCCCCAGCCTATAGGAGTGTTGCTGATTCCTTCTCCCTAGATGCAGCACCTTGCACTTGTCTGTGTTGAATTCCATCCTATTCTCATCCGCCCACCTCTGTAATTTGTCTAGATGTCGCTGGATTCTGTCCCTCCCCTCCAGCGTACCCACCTTGCCCCACATTTTGGTGTCATCAGCAAATTTGCACAGCATGCATGCCACACCCATATCCAGATCGCTGATAAAGTTGTTGAACAGTACATGCCTCAGGAATGAGCCCTGGGGGACTCCACTGTCCACATCCCTCCAGGTTGAAAACAATCCATCCACCACCACTCTCTGGGTGCAACCATCTAGCCAATTTGCCACCCATCTGACTGTGTAAGTATCAGTGCCACAGTCACCTAGTTTTTTTAAGAGAATGTGGTAGGAAGCTGTGTCAGAGGCCTTCTTAAAGTCCAGGAAGACAACATGTACTCCGACACCCTCATCAAGGGACTTTGTGACCTGGATCATAAAAAGAAACCAGGTTAGTCAGGCAGGACCTGCCCTCAATGAACCCATGTTGGTTGTCCCTGAGAATTACCTCCCCTGCTGGGCCCTTGCAGATGTGCTCCTTGATAATTTTCTCAAAGGTCTTCCCAAGGACCAAGGTAAAACTGACTGGCCTATAATTGCCGGGGTCCTCTTTTCTCCCCCTCTTTTCTTGTAAATGGGGACCACATTGGCCCTTTTTCCAATCCTCTGGTACCTGGCCAGTGCCCCACGAGTGATCATAGAGCCATGCCAAGGGCCCCTCTATGACCCCCGCCAGTTCTCTCAGCACCCTCAGGTAAAGACCATCTGGACCTACTGATTTAAACACATCCAGCCCCTCCAAAAGTTCCCTAACTAGGTCATCCCTGACCCTAGTCATGGCAGTGCGTCCCCTGGGTCCATCTGCAATTCTAGTGGGAGAGATGTCCCGATCCCTGTTCAGGAATATGGACGCAAAGAATTCATTAGAGGTCAGCTTTTTCATTTGCTGCAATCACCAGATTGCCACACCTATCCCGTAGGGGCCCCACGTTATCCGGTGCCGCCTTCTTACTTCCTATGTATTTGAAAAAGGACTTTTTGTTATCCTTAATTCTGGTCACTAGCCCTAGCTCCATCTCTGCCTTGGCCTTCCTAACAGCCTTCCTGCAGTCCCGAGCAACGGAGGTGTAATCCTTCATGGTGATAGCCCCTTGCTTCCTCTGTTTGTACATCTCCTTTTTTGCTCTCAGGCATCCCTGGATGCCTTTGCTGAGCCATGGGGGCTTCTTAGCACTCTTGCCCACCTTGGTGCACATTGGGACTGACTCCTTTTGAGATTGGAGGATTGTCTCCTTGAGGAACAACCACCCATCTTGGACTACCATCTCATTGAAGCTCTGAGACCGCAATGTCTCTCCTACTAACCTTCTTAGCTTACAGAAGTCAGCCTTCCTGAAGTCGAGGACCTCTGCCTTGCTGCTTGCTTTCATCACCCTGTGCTGGATAGTAAATTCCAGCAGGCAATGATCACTGTTACCCAGATGGTGGAGTACCCGCAGACCCCTCACAAGGTCGTCGCCTGTGGCAAGGACCAGGTCCAGCATGGCATTTCC